ATATATATATATGTTTTCTGGTTCCATGTTTTCAGACTGGAAATCTTTATCAAAAATTGGATTTCAAAAACAACAAGAAACATTCAGATTGTTTTTAAAGAAAACAAAACAAAATGGTGCTAAATAGCCTTTAGTACTTTTGAATCTAATTGGTGATTGTCTGAATTAATTATGATTGTATATACAGAAAAAGTGTTTATGCAATAATAAAAAGACAAAAAGTTCTGTTTTTATTCAATGTGTAAGATTCCTAGCCATTGGCAGGTCGACATGAAATATTTCCGATTTTTTTAAAATTTTTTCTATGTATGTTCTAGGCAATAGTTTGAAGCTGAAAGATCTCCTGAAATGGCTAACAGGATGCTGCCATCCACCACCACTTGGCTTTCCAAAGAAGCTGAAGGTCCTATTTGTGCATGGTTGTGTACCTGGGTGTCGCTGTCGTCCAACAGCTTCTACATGTGATACAACAATCAAACTGCCAATTCATATCAATACAGAACAAGAAATGCAAGAAATGCTGGAGTCTGCAGTGTTAGAATCACATGGCTTTGGGAGGCTTTAACTCACTGTCTATTGTTAAGTACTTGAACAATATCCTTGTCGTAAAAGTCAGTTAGCTTTACAACTTCAATGCATATCATTTGTCTATTTGTTACAGTTTTACTTATTTTACAAGTTGTATAATAAAAAAAGATACATCATGGATGTTGTACTGGAATTTTATGTTTACCACTGAAGTACTTACGAATCAAATCTGCAAATTCTTAAAATTCTGAAATAAATCAAATGCATCTTCCTCATTTGAAGGCATCTTCCAATTATTTGTTTCAATGATATGTTCAAAGTAGTTGAGATATTCCTCCACTTCACTATTGCCTTCATAGCAGTCAATCCCACACTCATTCTCCATTTCCTATAGTTTTTCTGTGGGTACTGGAACCATGCAGTCCATTAACCCTGAGTTTTCAGGTAAAAAGTACAAAATATCAGGTACACCTGCAACTGTGTCATGTCTTGATTTTCTGATGTAATGTGTGTTCCAGTGGTCTTTTACGTTTTCAAGTTCCTTTTCTAGAACCTTTGAGAAACAAAACCATAGGCATTCCATGTCAAATGTGTTTCCAAGTTCAAGTATTCCTGACTGGACCATATCTTTGAAAAAGTCTATCCACCAACTTGATCGATTCCTTCGGAAAAAGGACCACCATCCCTCTATTCTCTGATTTGATGGTGAAGAACCATATTGATGAGATTTCTCTCCAGCAAATTCATCAATACCATCTGCTCTGAAATAGCATTGCATTCCAGCAATAACACCATTTTCTGTTCCACAATCTGACCTCACAACTCTAGGGCAACTTTGCAAAGTTTCAACAGCATCAAGATATAGCATGGCAGTAACCTTTGGATTATTGTTAGATCGAACCAGTTCAAGCCATATTATTCTCCTGCTGTAGCCACAAATAGCACCATGTATAGGGAAGCCATAGGTTTTAAGCTTATCATAACCTACAAAAAGAATTTCAAACAAGCTCAATATTACCAAAAGAAAAAAAAAACAAGTGGAGTAAATCAAATATTACTAATAGTATTTCTTATTAATTTATATGCTATATAATGCTATTATTATTATTTAATGCTAGTATGCAATTTTATGATCACATGCGTGTGACAACACAATACTGATAATAAACCAATTATGATTTATTAACTGCAAAACACTGTGTGAGTTTGATCAAATTAAGGCTAAAATCAATACATTCCCATACCCTCCAGTATAGACCTTAGCCATGCATTGCAGTCTGTGGTGCTTCCTCTCCTTTCTTTAGCTAACTTCAGACTGCCAGCAACACAGGCTAAATGGGCATTATTATAAGGGTACAAACCTTAAACTATAACTCTCACTTTGAATATCTCGCAATACCGTTTAGAGATCATTTTGACCATTTTTGACGAGCATCCCTGCCAGTTTCTATCCAAAGTGCACCACGGTTACATGTGTAAGTAACAAATTTTATGTAATGACTTAGTACTCACCATCGATATGCCAGCAATAATTAGGTCCTCTTGATATATAATTTCTTCTCTTTAGACGTTTTCTTGCCCTTTCTTCAACTCCAGCAGGGTCA